CGTATATCGTTAAGGAAAAAGAATAGGGGAGTCGAGGGTTGTCCCGACCATATTTTTCTTTTTGATATTTCGCGTATAACAAGGTATATTGTCCCGACCATATTTTTCTTTTTGATATTTCGCGTATAACAAGGTATACATGTAAACAGAGTCGGCGCAAGGCAGGTTCCGCGGTCTACGAAAATTACCCGATTAAAAGGCACCGATTTCGATTAAATTTGTACAGAGTAACGATACCATTAACAGATACGAGACATTTTTTTAGTAGCGATGATTCGGTTTAAAGGAGTAACAAAAATCATCTTCATCTTATAAAAAATATATAACATGTAACAACATTTGTAAGTAAATAATTCCTCGTTGTGAAATTTAAGTGTAGGATTTGAATGTGAATTCAGCCTCCGCAAAAAGGTCACGTCGGCCCTGTATATAAATATAAAAATAACTACCCTAAGATAATTTACACCTATAAACATTTCTTTAAGTAATAAACAACAAATTGCAACTAAAGCATTCTGAAACTTAACATAAAACTACTTTGAAGAAAGTCTTATTTTTACACTCTCGAATGTAAATATAATTCAGTATTATCTATGAAACATATATTGCTGGAGTGTCTAATTATTCCAAATATTATAACACAAGAAAAACTGTCTGTTGATATTAAAGAATCTTCAAACGGAGCAAAAATATATTAATGGAATAATAACTTATCTCGTGAAAATCAAAATAATTGAAAATGTTTATGTGAAGAATTATGTTTATGCATTGTATGTTAAATAGAATGTAACAAGACGCATAATATAATAATGTATCGTAATGTGGTCGCTAATGGCTAAAAAGCTAATGCGACATTAAATGAAACAATTAAAAAGAAAAAATATGTTGCCCAAAGTGAGATAAGTAGCCTGTTACACGATCACTCATCTTTGCGAAAGCAAGGAGTACCGTTGTGAATTAAAAACGTTGCAACATCTTTCTGGAGAAATTCCAGTAAAGCGATGTCTTTGCAATCCCGTTTTCCTCGTAAAAGTTACGACTAGCGCCATTGAATCGCGCGACACGATGGATCGCGTCGTAGAGCGCGAAACGAATTGCAAATATAACGGGGAGATGGTCGAGCTGACCCGTAAACTTCGCGTTTTTCAACAACCCACTGTCGACAGCGGTTACCGAGTGGAGATATCGACTCGGAAATGGGTCAGTGCGAGATCGATCATAGTTGACGGATCGCCCGTCATCAGTGATACTCTTAAAAATGATTCGAATCTCTTCGATCATTATTCCAATATTAGCTAGGTCTCGAATCTCGATGGGATTCGAGATTTTTAACGTGTCCTGAACTTTGTGTACAGATAACGAAATAAATATATTTAGACATTCGTACAAACTATTTCTTCAGCATTGGCATTCAAAATATATTTAACACTTTTGCTGCGGATGACGCACGTGTGCGTCCAACTGAAAATATATGCTTATTTTTATTATTTTTCAGTTTTCATTTTTCTTGTTCGGCAATCATATTACATATAAAGTAAGTTGTCACAAATATATGTTTTTCAAAATAATCATATTAGAACATTTGTAAGAAATTTTTCGTTAAAAAAAATATCATAATTGCAGCTCCCAGCGAACGGCTACTTAGTTTCGTCCGCGGCGAAAGTGTTAACGCGTTTTAGTAGCTACTCAAGGTTAAACGATTATTAAGTTCGTGAACTTTTTATAAACAAATGATCAACTTTACCAGTTGCTTGGACTTTATTAATTTGAACAAAAATATGTAATTACTTTTAATAAATCTGTGGACAAGTAATAGGTTACTTGGGAATTAACATTTAGGGGAATGGAAAGAGGAAACTTCCTGTTATTTATTTTATCATATCTATTTTGACGGTTTGAGTTTTAACACGTTGATCGCCACGTCATCTATACATACATATACATATATGGATATACACGGGAATACTGTCTGAGTTGGTTTGGGATAGTATTTGTTAGGAGTGGCGATATCGAACAGTGTTAATGTATATGATGTTTAAAGGTTGATATAACGATAGCAATAATTAACACGTTGATCGCTATGTCACTCATATATGAGTGACAGTGTTTTTCACTCAAGAACTAAAAAGATAAATTCTGAAAGTTAGACGTTACAGGAGATGAATCTAAATGAAATTCTTTAATTTTGATTTAATTACAAAACTAAATACCACGATAAATGTTTCATTACTTAATCTCCGATAGTCTAAGTAATATTTAATCTTAGAAGAAATTTTCAAGAATATTCGTTTGGCAGTCAACGTGTTAAACATCATACTTTTTGTTCCTCCGACAGAAAATTAAACCAAGTTTCGTAATTTTGAATGTAGCTAATTTTAAATTTTGAACCGCCTCCGAAAAAGTTGCATTGTATTTAATATCCTGTATTTAATAATTTAACTACAAGCGCTGGCGAGCAATGCAGTTTAAATAGAAATTATTTCATCCTCTCCACTGCATTCTCTCATACTTTTAATTTAGTTCTATATTTCTCATTCATATTCAACCTCTTGAGTGATTAAAAGGTTTAATACAACGAATCATGATTGCAAATTAATTCTATGATTTGAATTTTTCCTACCAAGATAGAACAAGTTTCAAATCATATAATATAGCGTATATTTTCTGAAACTATAACAAAACAATTATCAAAGTTAATTTTCTCTTGTTACTCTTTTCTTGTTGTACTCTATATTAAAACTATTATAAGATTTTTCAACCAATGTTTCGCGATTCGTTCAGTTGTCGTAAAACTATTTACGCCACCGAATCCTTAGATAGAATACAGTCGTTTTAAAATGACCACGTTATCGATTCGGCGAAGCTAAATTGCTAAAATAAGACATCGCGGGTCGCAGTAGCACGTTTACACGCGCGAACAAAACGTAGGGACGCCGATAGGGAGCCACGAGGAGTTCGCTAACAACGAAAAGGTTACAAGTTCGCGCTGGTGCTCGACAATTCATCCAATTAGGAAATTTTTGTCCCGGTACCGCGCGGCCGCTCCGTCCCACTTTTTGCTCGCGAAGAGGACTCCGTTTCCCACGAGAGGATGCATTAAAATAGTTTTCGAGAAATGCTCGGTCGCGCGCGAAGGGCAGGGAAAAACGCAGACTCGTTCCGAAGGGAATTTCAACTCGGCGATCTTTGCCGCGCATTTCGTCGCGTATTCGCCAAATGTTGCGCGTATTAACAAAAACAGAATTGAAGTTTCGCGAACCGACTGTCTTCAACTGTTGCGAGGACGAAAACAGCAAGGAGCGAACGAGCGGGTATTCGCGAGGAATTTCCAGCCGACCGTTGTCTGGCAAGTTTCCTTCGCGACGAACTGCGTTTCGTCTTTTTAAATTGCTCCTGCGGGTTCGTAAGCCACGGTCGATAAAAGAATAGCGAATACGAGAGCATCTAAGGAGATGCTTCCTTTAATTTGCCATTACGTAATTGCTATTTCTGGGTCAAATTTTGTACCTTGACACGATACTTGATATTCTTGGATGCGATGTTTCTAGTCGCTAGACTTTTTATTAATTACGAACCAGAGAATTGTATGCGCAAATCAAATTTGAACATTTGTCTGGATATAAATTGGTTTCATCATCTAGAGTGAATAAATCTTATAGCGATTACGGTCAGGTAAGTAGGTGATTTCCTATCATATAGTTGTTGATGATCTCCTCAAAATTGCTGGAGAAAGAAAGCATAATGTGTTGATAGTTGAATTAGAAGATTGTCATCATTCGCATTTATTTAGTCACAATCAGGAAATTGTCATTACTAGACTGCGGATCTTTATGCAAAATAGAATCTTTGCGAACGTGCCTACAAAAATTGAACCTAAATAGGAATTTATTTTATTCTGCAAATATTATAATATGAACTTTACTTTCAATCTTTTTTATATTCTCACATATTGTTTGCATTTTGTAGTTTCTTGCACATTCAAATTTTCTATAAATGCATAAAGATCCGCAGTCTAGTCATTACCCTTTATTTACTAGCGGGACTTGTAAGTCCCATCTGTTTTCTCGTGGTACTGTATTAATTTGAACGCTTTGAAACCCATTTTTGACTTTCAAGTCCACTTTTATGAAGTTCGTTTTTTAATTGTTGCTTAGAAGATTAAAGATCGTTCGTGTGTTTTTCATATATAAAATAGTTATTTACAGTATTGTCCTATTTCGAGACAGTACTGTATCTTACGTCTTGACAAGTTATAATTCTTAATTATTATTACTAATTATACATAATGTAAAATTTAATGTAATAATCTAAAATCCTGTTGGGACAATCAACTCCTAAATTGTGTTCTGTGCAATTAATGACATTGGTGATAACTTTTTATGAAAATTGTACCATAGGGGTACAAAAATTGTACCATCGCGTTTATTTGCACCTAAACTAAATATTTAAAAAAGTCAGAACAAATTTTAACGACTTTTGAGAAATTCAGTAAATAAAGAGTTCAGATTTTAGATGATCAACAACTGGTAGAAGATTATTCATCTTGCGAATTACAATCCCTATTCAATTTACTTGAAATGATTGATAAATTTGTTGACATCTATATATGATATATGTATAGATATATGTATAGATCGATATATTAATACATAGATCACTGAGTGTGGCGCTGTATGACACCTCGATACACCTGTCGATTTAGATCCCGTATTACGCGGTTAATCGTTCACGTGATCACGGGGCATCTATCTCTTCTTCCGGTGTATAATAAAGATTATTATCTATTACAACTCTATTTCATTTTTCCCATAAACCTAACAAAATGAAATCGTGTATTGTTTTATACCTGTAGTTTACAAAGATGTTTGATATAAAGACCCCGCAAGTCATCCCGGCCGATTTTACTACATCCAAGAAGCGAGAAATCGTTGCAGAAAATATCGTTCATCGATCGATTTCCATCGAACGACTCCACAAAAATGATAACAAACAAACGTTACCTGAGGTAGACAGCGATGACCGTAGGCGGTCTGTCCATTCTTAAATCGGAGGGGTTGGACGGATGCAGGAACACTGGAACGTGCAGCTTGGACCTCGGATACAGGGGTCCATGTGGAACCAACAGCGTCAGCGAATCGTCAGCCTTCAGCTCTTTATAATCGGCTCGATTCGGAGCAAGTGGCACCTGTCCGAGCGGCGTGACAGGCTGAATTTGAACTTTCGGCCTACAGAAGCCAGCCCCGTTGTCAGCAGAGCCGCCCAAGTCCTCGGTTCGCGGTTCGAGAACAGAATAAGCGACCTGAACGAGCCTTGGTAAGCTCTTGGCGACCTTGACCCGGCCGGAAGCGTCAGGTGGAGGTAACGGTGCCCACCAATCGGCTGGTATGGTGATCTGAGCGAGGCAAACCCCGTTCTCTCCGTCGGGGCTGCAGGCCGCCGTCAGGACGGATGGCGAGGACGAGGAGGAGTACACGGAGGAGGAAGATGAAGAGGAGTAGCTCCTGCCGTTGTTCCTGCTCGCAGTACTCCTGGAAGGGACCGCCAGACTCGCGTGTAGGACCACGCAGACCCTCTGATGCCTCGCCAGAAGCAACTGACGTCTCCCTCCTGCCTCGCTTCCGGCGTGAAAGAGCACTCTTAGCACCGGCGAATCGCGTGGCACGCTGCTTCCAACGAGATGGGCGGACATGTCCAGGTGACGCGCTCCGAGCTCCTGCGCGTCGAGAATCGTTGCCGCCGTCAGATTTCGCCTAGTTTCCGGTCCCGGCAGGGCGTCCAGAGGATCTGGGACTATGTAACGTGCCGGCACGGTCTGCTTCGTACTAAATGGACCGTACGTCGCGCGAACGGAGACCGGCTCGCTCGTCTGAAAGACGGTGAATTTGTCTATCGAGAGGATGGAGCCTGGCGGCGGCGACGGAACCCCATTGCTCCCGCTCGTCGACGTTCCCGTCGACGGTGATATCGCCGGGACCGCGTCCCTTCGAGCAGGGTAGAATTGCCTCGGCGTGTGCTTCAGGAAGAATCCACCGTCTTTGTTCTCGAAGTGAACCTCCACCGAGGCCGCCACGTCTGAAACAAGAGAATCACCTGTGTCAGCGACCGCACATCTACCCCTGGAATCGCGATCACACTTTTTATTATCCTCTACTAGTATATTCTCTCGTCACGCATAACGAACGGGTAAGGTGGAAGGGAGGAAACTTGACTAGGACAACTCGAAGTGGTGCATATTTGCGAATCTTTTGGGGAATAATATCCAAATTTTCTGGTAATAATATTCAAGGTGTTCGAAAAATAGCTTCTTTATGCATGTGTCGCAATTTTTGTATTTAAAAATATCTAAAATGAATAAAGTCGTAAGAGTAAATGGGAATGTCGGTTTCTTACATCAGTTGAATGTGATCAGAGATAGGTTGCCTCAAATTAAAAAAAGCATAAATTTTGTAATTACATTACATTGTCTAAGTTCTATCGAGAACTTTTTTAGCCATGTGTTTTCATTTATTTCTAGAATTTTTTTTTTCTGTACGGAAAATGTAGGATTTCGTTTGTAGGTGATTGTAGTAACAATAATTTCGTTTGTAGTTCTACCATTTATAAAATAAAAAAAATTGAAAAAATGACGAGCACCTGTCATTGAAATGTCTCAAATCGGCTTTTTCCATAGTGATTTAGAATCGTTTGTAATTGTTTGCAGTGACTTCCGTTACACTTATATATGAATAGTTACAAAGTACAATTTGTGATTCGACACGTTTTGAATCACATGGAATAAATTTCTTTTTAATGTTTAACATTGTCGAAGTTGTCCAATGCGTATAAAAAATAAGATGCCTATAACTTTTGAAATGTTTAACTACAAACGATTCTGAATCATACGGAATAAGAAGATTTCAAAAATTTTGAAAATTGTCGAAGTTACCTCTTAGGCGTATGAATTTTTATACTAATTTAGAAACTGAATAAGTAACGAAATCGTATTCTGTGCAGCTTGAGTTTTATTTTTATCTTTAATCGTACACTTTAATTAGTTAAAAAAAAAAATTGTCATACTTCTATTTATTTCGCCGTCTCGAGAACTATATTCGCCGTTTCTCATAAACTATATTCTTTGCAAAAATTCTATTATACTTTAAACAATTTCCTTGCTGTTCTAATAATAGATACCCTAATAGTGTTTTAAATAGCGTTTAAATTTATCTGAAGTAGACAGACATATTTTTTAATTTTATATTAATAATTATCGTCTCAGATCGCCATCTCGATATTAAAATGGAGGGTAAATGCTCGAAATATACATAAAAATTGAAAACATTTTATTTATTCCAATTTGTAAACCGATTGAAAAATGAAAATTACTGCCAAGGACGAGATCAAATAAAATTAAACAAGAAACTTCGTATTTCTTTCTGCAATTTCAAGTGAATACGAGCAGGTAAATTCATTGCTGCAAGCAACGAGTTGGTTCACATTTCCAGGATATCGGTTTACTTTGTATAGTGTGATTACAGCTGCGGGGGAGTGTACACGAAATACGGGGAAGGGGAATTTTAATTATCCGTTTCTTTCAGAACGACCGAAATTAATTCTCAGAGGATGTACGCGTGTTTTCCTTAACGCTGTAATAAATCCGTTGGCGTCGCGAAAGAACGTTTCCATTACACCAGAGTAATTTACAGAATTTATATCCGCGTTAAATTAACATAGAAATGAACACGGGTGAGACTCGACGTTGTCGGGTGCTCTTTGCAAAGAGCCGAACTCTGCGACATATCGTTTGGCTTTACATTTGAAAACTGCAGACACAATCCCCGAATGAAATTCAAATTTAGCGATCAAAATTCCTGAAAAAGATACACACTAAAAACATCTTGTCGATTTTTGATTGACAACTCTTGATGACATTTTGATTCTGTTGCAGGGCGTAGAATAGAATGTATTTTACTTGGCGTATATAACATTTATTTCCTACGCATCATTACAACGTGGCAATGACAATAAATGAGCGACTACACTTCATAAGTCGGTTTTGTAGAGACATCGTTAAAGTATCACAATATCTCTATAGATTCAATATAGAGATTAAATTTATTAACATAAATTATTATAGGAATTTTAATATTACTACAGTATCGTCTAAATACCTATTATAATACTTGTATACTTTCGATAGAATTATTCGTATCATCAAAGGTGTGCAACGAGCATAATTAATTCGATTGCTTCAGGTAAATGGTGCATTGATCTAATATTATACATAAATGATAAAGTCATGTGAAACAAATACAATATAGACATTCGTTAAACAATGTTTTCGATAAGACTACTTTACTATTGGTCGAAATATCGCATTACGCAATGACTAATACCGTTACTATTATTCAAATGTATGAATGAATTATTTATCAAATTATTCTTGGTTTAAGGAAGTGATAAGAATACGAAGAACGAAAAAAACGTATATGTTTACGTTTCGACTCCTGTATGCATTAGCGATTGATGGAATATCGTTACCCAATAGTATCGATAATAATAAAACTTTCTGTACAAATTCAATAAAGACTAAGATCAACAACAAAAATAACAAATAACTACTCGGAAACATTAGTTATAGCCTGTTACTGTAGTTTCCGAGGTCCACATTGGCCGACTTGTCACTGAAGGGAGTTTTCCTTCGGTCGCGAACGCATCTCGATAAAAATTCCCCAGACAGAAGTTCGAGTGAAAAGTCGTGTAGAAATATCAACGATCTCCTCTCTGTACCGTGTTATTTTCTTCCCAATATCGACACCATCCAGCTACTTCACGATAAATCGAGGCATTCGTTTCGCTGGTTGATCGCGGCTCACGGGATCGTTCCCGATAAAGTACACTTCGGAAATTTCCCCCGTTGAAACAAAGTTTTGCGTATTTATGCGCGCTTAGAAAGTCCGCGCAGGTGAACGAGGAAAGTTGTAAATCGGCGTGGCGAGGCGTGGCGCGACTGCGCCTCGATTCGGACATAAATTCTCGAGGAAATCCTCCGCTAAGCGCCAACTGCCCGCACACCCTCTTCTCGAAAGAGGAGAACGCGCGAAAAGGTGAGGCCAATTCGGCCCTCGGTCGCTTATCTTTCGCGTTACTCGCTCTACCGGCCCCCGTGTCTCGTAATTTTTTTTCTGTCTCGTTACCCGAACGGGCTGAAAAGAATTCGTTTATCCTTCTACAACCTCTAGAGATTTTTAAGTCACGTATTCGCATACCTACGTTCTCTAAATCCGATTTCACCTTTCTACCGCTGCAGCTTTCACCCTTTATAACCTTTTCGTTATCTATATACAATTAACCCTTTGTGTTCGAGGCCTTTTTCTCTGAAGCCTACCAGCAACTCGAGATAGTCGAGTCTTTCCAACTAATTTAAAATAATTTTAATTTTACAAATAACATAAAACATTTGATGTATCTTTATATCTCAAAGAAGAACAATTTCTGAATATGTAATAACGTCTTTATTGTTGCATGGTATAATCTACAAAACAATCGTTAAGGTACACCTCCAGTTGGTTTCGATTAGCTTCAGATACTTATTACTCGATTATTTGTAGCCTATTTAATTTTCTTAAATTATTAACTATATTATAAGTACGTAAATCATCATGCTATCTTGGAAATTAAAAACGGAACAAATGTGAATATTATTTATATTTATTAACAAATTATTGTTCGTAGGTAATCTACCGCAGTAGATATACTACTCTATAATAACACGACAAAAGTTTTTGTTTCTTCTCGCAAATACTTGTTTAACGATATAAATAAACTTTTAAATTAAACTCTTTTTCTCCGATATCTTTTACGGCTTTGCGGATCTCCACAATATCATGAAAACTTACAATTCCTACGAGGGAGTATCTTTACCCCTAAAATGGTTTCATTCCGGAAAGAAACAAATTGTTTCGGTTATTCGCATCTCTGGAACTACTGTTTCTCTACGTTCTACAGTTTTCTCTGTTTCTTCACATTTCTTTTTTTTTTCATTTTCAAGTTGTCAAATTTCTCTCGCAAAGACCGCGTTCGACCTTTCTTATTTTATGATAGAAAAGTGTTTTGGCCACGAATTTATTCACCGTTCGAATACAATATCTTTCACGAGCTAACGGATCGCAAATGCTCGGTCGATCTTCTTCATTGACGTTGGTGTCACAGCTTCACTTGTACGGCGGCACATCGAACCACTGGTACTTCTTCGGTTGGCTTTCGTCCAGCTCGTACTCCAAACATCGTCTAGGAAAACTGTCAGGGATCGTTAGAAAGACCTCTTTAAACTGACTCACAAGGGAAGAACGAAAATGGTCCGACTCCGATTTTAATGGAACTTTGTAGGATCGAAGAACGTAAAATAAGAGTCTTAATATAAGACACGCGTATATTTTTTTAGCCTCGGTAATTCAAAATTTAAGGGGTGTAAACACGCTTGTATATATGATACGCTGAGTATTACAAGAGCGACATAAAGAATGGGATTCTTGTGTTACCTGGACACTATGTGTGTATGTTATATGAGTATATATTTATATATACTCATATGATATATGTATATTATGTGAGTATA